AAACCATGAAATAAGCAAATAGTTTAAGCCAGTGGACATAACTACTAAATATAACATTATTCAACACAAGACAATATTCATAGCCATATAAAAGAATTCATCATTCAACACAACCAAGAAAGATATAAGGATAAAATATCTCAGTTCCATAATTCCTCCACACTAATACAATTTAGCACTTTGTACCATGTCAAGTTCGTATAATTGACATTGAGAGAACAATAAGTTTAATTAAAGTAGTCTTATAAATTTCACTAAGCTGCTCATGAAAACTAAATGTTAATAGATAGAATACCACAACTTGAATCAAGCACTTCAATTGCATATTCAGATAATCAGATGCATTGTCATCAATGATATTATTGTCCAGAAAGTTTTATATAAAACAATAGCAAGTTTTATATTATATTTCCTGTGGAAAAAGCAGCTAAGAATAAGTAGCACAATGAAATTAATGAATATGCACATCCAGAACAATTTTATCAAAAGGAAAAAAAAAAAGAAAAAAAAAATGATTCGTCTCATCTACATGATCAACCTTGCTATTCGAATCTAGACAATAAAGGGTGATCAAACCTTGACTGACCATTTGAATTGGTCATAGTTGTTGCACGTTTCACCATCCCATGACCAATTAGGGACTCAGCTTGCTGAGCATCACAAATCACTGCCTATTTACATGCCCCAAAATGAATATATAATCATCAGCATTTCATTTCAGTCATCACTTCAAAAAATACCAGAATACAGTCAAAGAAATATTCAACGAGAAACAAAGAAAATGCTTTCAGAATCACAGGGTGTAACCACTTGAAAGTTCCTTGATAACTGATTGCTGCATGCATGTCACCTCGATCATGCAGTAAACTACCATTTTCTCTGCCTTTCCTTTCTCTGACGAGATTACAAACATCGACAAATAAAATGCCCCGCCCGCATAAATTTAAAAGATTAAAAACCACTAATTAACTACTTTACCCAAAAAAATATTGAAATAAATCAACAAAACGGAAAAAAACATGCATGCTCCAATGCTCATTATAAGATTCACAAACACATATAAGATCATCCCATTCCACTTTTCCGTGTTCACTGAAAATGCGACGAAGAACGAGTGGTACCATTACAAATAAACCAACTGAGCACAAATTAAAGAACCTTGTAGCATAAAGTTTTCTTACCAGTTACTAAAGAATCTTCGAATATCAGATAGAGTATTCTCTGCAAACAAAGTGTTGGGAAAACAAATGACGAAACAAGAACAGTGGGACCCACGAGCCACAACAGGTTGTTGTTTTGACTGGTAACAGAAACTTGTTCTTCTATTTTCATTGTGGATCCGTAAAATGAAATGATCCCTGGTTTTCCTCGAGCTTGTTCAGCGTTATCAAATGAAATATTTACGAAGGTGTTATTTTCAGCAAGAGAATCCTCCTCTTCCGGCTCAAAATCATCTGGTTTGAGTTCACTGAATGAGTGTTCATCCTCAGAGGTGGCAAAGAGAATGAATCTCTTCTTCGATAAAATATTAAGTACTGTTGGCCTGCCATGCATAAGCTGGCAAGGCTTGATGACATCTAGCACAAAATGGAGAAAAAATAAAAATTTGGATTGTCACGAGGGTCCTTGATAAACTAAAAAACATTTAGTTAAAGAAAATATATAAAAAAATAAGTCAATTTAAAACAGTAGCGATGCGTGAATAGGCAAGCTCAATGGGTAATCACTATAAGATATGCCTAAAAGGCAACTACAGAGTTCATAGTTCATACTGCAAAAAGTATGGAAAATTCCCATCTCCTTAAAGTTGATGAAACTCATAGACGTCTTGCCAACTGATATGAAGAAAAAAGAACTAGAACTGCGTAAAGTTGAACTGGAGAAGATCAGATATGAAATTGGGTAATTCTTCTGAGGAGGAGGTGAATGAAAGGTTTTCGAAGTTTCAAAAAACGTTCAACTTTTTTTACAAATTTATTTTGGTAAAAAATATGGACTTGAGCTTAATTGACATTTAATAAGTATCTCTACGTATATGTCAATTAAGTTGCCAACGTATTCCTTATATTGGGAATCAAAGTCCACGTAGTTCTTTTAATTTACTTACAACTCAAGAATGCCATGATTCATTGTGGATCTTAGTACAAATATTCGCTCCAACAAATTTGAGAAGTTGTCCATCAAATCAAAGCAATAACATCAATTACACCAATGATGTAACGCCCACAATCTCCATTGTAGATCTTGTTTCCAACTCTCTCATATGCCTAAAATAGAGCAATATAGAGAAAGTATACAAAGACTAACATCAGCAAACTTCAATATTGAAGAATCTGTATATCGGTCTGTGTCATCGCTCTATTAATGTTCTATAGTAGGCGTATAAGAGAGTTGGAAGCAAGAACCACAATAGAGAATGTGAGCGTGGTGGCATCATTGGTTTTGTTGATAAATATGTTGAACATAAAACAAAAACTGGGGAACTACTAGCATCTCGTACGAGAGTCCACATCGTCCCGTTGGAAAAAGGGTCCTAAGGATGAGCAATTATGTTCCCTGACACACAACAACAAATACCTGTTGTGTGGAAAGGTTTTCGATGCTGAACGGAACCTCATTATATATGAGGAGTTCGACTGCACTCACTTTTTAAATTCAAAAACTAAAAGGCCAAGTAATAGAACCTACGATGTCATTTACTATTCCATCAACTAAGATCAAATTCTCGTATGGCGCTAATTGAGTTGCATGACAGGGACGTAAAATGTATTTCCTCGCTCACGTGAACAATTTTGTGATGAAGAATGGAGTAGTGCATATGTATAAGTTGAATTGTATTCCCGTGTCGGACGACGGGAGGACAAAAGATTTGGAGAATCCACATGAGATAATAAATGCGAATATATATGATAGATATTTGCGTCCGTAAATTCTTAAGCACTTTACAAGGAATATGGTAGTGCCGAGCAGGAGGTAACTTTTTATTTTGTAGACATATTTGTTAGTTTGATTTTTATCATGCAAATTATTGTTAGTAGGATTTGACTTTTTTTTTTAATGTTTGTACTTTTTTGTAGTCATAAGGAAGAGAAAACTTTGTTGAAACATCTGGCAATTATGGAGTCTTCTGATAGGCTTGCTTTCTTTAGGAATGGTTATGAAAAATATGATGCCTTCAATGACAGAAACCGAGCTAGGTATTACCAATTTATGCCACAAATGGTCGGTTTCAGTAATGG